ATCTGCACTAAATAGACACTTGGTATAAATAGCAATCAGGAAGTGAATTCTATACAAATACATCGTGTCCATTGATGCATGGCGTATTCAGCAATTAATTCTTTATGATAATTTAAATACTTTTTTCAATACTTCTGAAAGTATCGAAATTTCACATTTATAAAAATATACCTATGACAAGAAATATTTACCTTTCTAGTTTTTTCTGAAAAAAAGTGAAATAAGAAATATGCTACGGTATTATAAATAATTTGCATGTTACAATGAATATTGCAGAAGAACTTTGAGTATTAAAAAGTTGTACACATTGCAGGCTAACACTTGTGAAAGCAAATGATTCACTTGTTATTTACTCTATTTCAGATAACTAAATCAGAAGCTTCATAATAACACGGCATGGCTGCCTCGAGTTTTTTACATATTAGGTAGTGCTGAAAAGAACTATCTGTAGCTTCTACCGGCTTTTTTTGTATTCGTTTATTAAAATAAAATAAATAAACACGAAGCCATGTATCACATAATACGAGCAACCGTTTGCCTTCAGAAATCAACTACTCCTTTGGCTAATAATGCAACAGGCATTGAATTATATCCAAAGGAAAGCCAGCAAGGATATAAATTTAATTTTAACTCTCTACCTTTAATTTTTTTTACTACAACGACGGCTTATCGATCTTTTTAAAAGCTTGATGACCTAACCTTTTACCTTCATCTCTAAATTCCAATGCAACACCTGGAACTCTAGAGAAGTTATGATCGAACTTCGATTTTCATCCAAAGATTAATCACTTGAGATCAGCTTAAAATACGGGCCTTAGTGTTTTCAAAAATAAAATTAAGAGAACTTCTGAATTATCCAAAACTAAGTTGTTTTCAGATTTTAATAAGAAATTAGATCCTGTTGTAATTAAATTATTTAAAAGTAGCTTAGAATATTATCAAAGGAAAAACCCTCTTGAAACAATCTTTTTTTATACATATTTGGTCATTTGGTATTTACTTTATTTAAGATAACGAAATCATAAGTTGCATAGAAGCGCGGCATAGTTGCCTCCAGTTTTTTTACAAGTTGGGTAGTATTGAGAAGAACGATCTATAGCTTCTGCCGGCCTTTTTGGCTTTTTTTTGCTTTTTTGGCCTGTTTTAGATTCGTTTACTATTTGCGTACTATCCCTATCAACTTTTTGAGAGCTTGATGACGTAACCTTTTCTCTGTTCTCGATTCTTCTAGTTAATTTGACGACACAAGACGATGCATTATTTTTTGTATCTGAATCATTAATTAATTGATCGGTTTGGCACTTAGGGCTGGGCTTGCCTAATGTAATAATTTAAATATGTTGGAAGCATTTCCAACAATGTTAATAACAATTGGTAGTGAATTAGTTTATTACAAAAATGTTGATTAGTAAGATTAGGTAGATTCAGACATATTCAAAAAAGAGTAAAAATCTGTGTAAAACCTGGCTGGGATTGTTTATAATTATAAATAAATACGCATAATAATATTCGAATCTAATCTCAGTTCCGGTTTCAAAATATTTCAAAAGTATTAGCTGACATATTTTATTTACTCTATGTAGAGAACCAACTATGTCGTGTTATCAAATTTGCATTCAATTAGGTATTATCAGACGATCCATATACCTATGCAAATTGCTGTCTAGCAAAATTGTAAATTTTTACCTTGGAAAAATATCATTAGTTATCCAGTAGTGGATTAGTCTGAAAATGTTTATTTGTTGTTGATGTTTGCTGGGGATAAATATCACGTGAAGTGTAATTTGTGCAGTGTTTTTGAAAAATATAGATGTTTACTAATTTCTATTTCAGTGGTAAAAAGTCTGGAAAGTTTTATCGTGAGTTATTTATGTTCTTTTTTAAATTTCATTCAGTTTCTATTTGATTTATTCTTTATATAACTGTGAAAAATTTAAATGTTTTTAAAAAGTCTGTCTAGCAAAGATAATTTGCATGCCAAAAAAATACAAAATTTTAGCCATAACAATCATAAAGCGATAATTAAATATTGAATTTTTGTTACTCTTTCATCATACGAGATTATTTATCTATAATTAACATTATGTATTATTTATTACTTCATCACATTATATTCTACGCAAATAACATTTCTTACCTATAATATGATATTTCATTGTTATACAGGGTGTCACAAATAGTAAGTCATGGCTTATATACCGGGTGGCCCAATAAGAATGGTTTAGATATTCAAATCGTCGCACATCATTTTCGATTAAGTTTATAGACCAGTCAATAAAGACATCCTATTTTAAAAATTTCATATTAATTATTATAGTTTGTAAATACATTACAAAACTTTGTAAATACATTACAAAACTTTGTAAATACATTACAAAACTTTGTAAATACATTAGAAAACTTTGTAATAATAATAGATTAACACTAAGTTTAAATTTGCAACCATTTCCAAGGTCCGGAACTAGTTAATTCATAGCAAATAGGCGCTTTTGTTTTTTAAAAATGTATGTATGTATTTTGCGTTTTTGTTATTTATTATACATCCAAGGGCTAATCGACTTATTTTGACTCCAAAATATTTGGTATAATTTATAACCTACCTTCTTATTAAAAAGTAATAGCGTAATAAGGCCGCTGCTTACTATGCAACCCATCGCTTTACTTACATCTACTACTCCGCTTTCTGAACTATCTGATAAGCTATATTATTATAGTCATTATCGGAGGCACATCCAGTGTGCTAGTATTTACATTTTTCTTCGTTTCCATTAGCTGTTCTTTCCAAAACAATTAAAACAAATTAGTATCTAATAAATATGTGTTATCTTTAGAAATGGCGTCTAAGAAACTATAAATACATGTTTATTAATCAGTTTCATAAATGTTGTTATCCGAACACATAATTCGTAAATAAAATATTTACTGTTTTCGTACATTACATGATATGTGTGTTTTTAGAGTTTCTATATTTTGTAGTACAAAGATTATAGTTCAAGATCAATTGAATTCGTTATTTTGGAAACGTTTTTAAGAAAAATAATTTTTTATTTTATTTTGATGTATTGACATATGTCAATCGTCAACTTTTGTTGCATCAACACAAAAAATGGAGGTTTTTTATTTACAAATCATACTTATAATATGCATCTAAAAAAGGAGTTTATGTGCATAAATATGCATGATTCGAGTTCAAAACATGCTACATATGCAAGTGCATATTTGCCTAAGTCTACTTATAACACACTATATATAATCAATACCTTATATTGATTGGGGCTACGAAAGTAAAAGTAACATCCAAGTTACTCAACATTTTCAAAATAAAGTATTAAGAAACATCGTCAATGCGAAATAATGAATAACGAATAATGACTCCAACATAGGAACGTTTCAGTCATCCATCTTCTCAACAACTGCAATCTTATAAGAAGATTTAAAAGAACCAAGCTTAAGTAATGTTAAATAAAAGTAGTTATAGGTTTCAATTTCTTAATAAACAATTGTTCATAGCGTTTCGAGATAACAGGCAACAAAGAGCTTAGGTTTCATTATACCCTCTACCACCTTCCACATCTTTGGTATATTCTTTAGTCTAAAGGATGCATTGATGAGATTGGTTATTTTGGCAATAGCTTTCCATGGAAAATTTTTAAAACTTTCCTTTCAATTGGGTCAAATCCAGGGGCCTTTTTATATTTGTTTGGATTTCCATATAAACTTCTTTTGGAGAGATAGGTTTAACCGGCTGTATTTTCTTGTTCTAGTTCAATCCAGAACTAAAGATCTTCACCATTATTGATTTGCAAGGTACTCTCTAAATGTCCCCCAAATCTGTTTGCGTTTTGCATGTCTATTTCTTATTGATGGGATATGTGTAGTAGGCCTTTTTATTCATTTGATAGCTTTCCAGGTGGAGTAATCCGTACATTTATCGTTAGTTAATTCCCTTAAGTATTTGCCAATTGACTATTTGTTGCATTTTTTATCATTTGGTTCTTTACACTGTTGGCTTTTTCTAATTTTGCCTTTTTTTTCTAATCTAATTTTTTTCCGATCTCTTTTGACTTATTAATATTATTACCCTCATTTTATCTTGAGAATCTTTTCCCATGCTGTCTGTTGAATATTTTTGATAGAATGTTCAATTTCTTGGTTTAAATGTTTCTCAGACCTTCTAGCTTGATTTTGAAGCTTTGCCAGTCTAGTCCTTTGTTGAATAGTTAAGGTAAATTTTTTTTTTCGATTACAGTATTACTCAATTTGAGAAGTATGGAAGAATGATCTGAGTTTATGTCCCATGTTTCTTCTATACATATAATTTGATGCGATATTCTTGATTATAAAAACTTGCCATGATAACATAATTTTTGAACACAGTTTTTTGAGATTAATCTTCACTGGTACAAAATTTCTAAAACTTTCAGACTGTGGTCTTAAGATTTTGCATCATTAATCAAATTTACTTAATGCTCATTTTGTGAATTTTTAATACAGCAAACCACTGAAAAAACTATTTTTAGATATAGCAGGCATAATAATTCAAAATTGCAACACGTCACTATTGTTGCAAATACTCTGGTATCTATAAATAGCTAAATAATACCTGATAGACTGGAATAAAAAACATAAATGACCCTGACAAAGTTGATGTTCAATTAATCTTTTTTTAACAAGTTCAAATACCACAAATCAGAACAATAAAAACTAAATGCAATGTTTATTAAAAATTTTAGTTGATTTGAATTACAGTGAGAATATCATTAGGTGTCACAGAACTAATTATTAATAATTCGGATGTTTGCAGATTGAATCAAAATAATACTAGGATTTAATTGGCCAGCACGTTCACCTTATCTTACGCCATCAGATTATTAATTTTACGAAATTTTTGTTGCAGATCCAAGATACTGAGACGATCTTAATGTTGTCTCAAGATTGGCCGATTGTCTGAAATCGCTCAGGGGAGTAGAAGGTAAAAAGGAAAATAAAAATAGAACAAAATGGATTCGGCGGATGATAACGTCAGACTGGAACCGTTAGGGCCCAATAAGTGAGTTAAAAATGTATTTTTTATTATTATATATTTTTTTGTTATTATACTGTAAATAACTGTAAATATACAGGGTAAGATACGTTATATTCTTGAACTCTACAGTATTACCATAATACCAACGTTAATATACATATTTCACGCCTTTTCTCTCTTTGACTTCAACCAGTTGTACGAGCAGAGCGAGATGGAAAATTTGAAATCTTCTATTTTTCAGCTGAATTTCTTTAAAGGTTAGTTTTAAAATAACTGGATATTAGAGTGCGATAAATTAACTTTTAGAGAACGACAATGTGGTGTGATGTTTTTTTAACACCTGCATCGAAAGTGATATAATCATTGTCTCGTGCCAAATCCGAGTGAAGTCAGTGGCGACCTAAATTTAAAATTATTTTCAATTTTAAAAATTATGGCTCATCACTGTTATGTTATTTTCTCACCCTGTATATAATTGGAAAAATATGTTTTTATTATGTACAGCATATCTATTGCATAATACACTAGTTTATAGGGTACAATTTATTTAAATTTTTAATTTTTTTCAGACATTTAGAGGAAACCTCTGGTCTTCTAGGCAAAGGGTAATTGTATTATAAATATTCGTAAAAAGTATCAAAATTGCTTTAAGTAATTCACTAGCAATATTTGTTACATTTTTGTTAACAGGTGGCGGTAGCTGTAGTTTGGGCAATTTTCATAAAAATGTATTTTTTTGTAGCTTCTCATGTTCCACTGTGTAATGCGATAATTTTTGTTCACTACCTGAAAATTCTATTATAATAAGTTATTTAATTTGAATTGTTTATATTTATCTTTAAATTTTGAATAATTAAGGATTTTAATTCTAAAACCAGTATGCATAAAGTAATTTAAATTTGTTTCTCTCACTGTTTTTTTATTTTATTAATGTCATCTTTTACTTGACTATTTCTATTTTCTTTGTATTTTTCTTTAAAAATTTTCTATATGTTTCTAGGAGTAATAGCTGTTTTTTGATTGTGTCTTTCATTATTTATACTTAACTATAAGGTTTTTAATTTCAAAATTGTTTAAAATGCACGAGTTGGTTTTAAAAAGATTGTATAATAAACATTGTACGCTAATAAAAAAAAAAAATACTATTATGCTTTACGAATTTTCAGGTATTTTTCAATTTAGTCTATTAAGCTTTTTCGTTGTTATTTATGTACAAACTCTATTTATGGTGTTGGATTTGTTTAACTATAATCGAGAGGTAAATTTATATGGAATTCGGTTTACAAATTTGGTCGGAAAAGTATGAAACTCTGTGGGAAAACAATAGCTGAAAAACAGTATGCAGTATTTTATATCGAATGGTGGTATATTGGCCCTATGATGGTGGGTGAGGTTTTCCGGGTTTTCCTCACCTTAACCCAGATTTTCAATCAAATTTCTTTTCAGAGTCAATAGGCTTCATCCTCTTATGAAGCTTGATTTCTCCTGAAGGCTTCAATTTGATATCGTTTTTTGGTTCTAAGTTACCATTTTTTTCAATATTTAAACCTCCCCTTATCTCCCCATTCTTATTTATTTATTAATTCCCTTATAGAGCTTAATTTTTACTAAAAATTTCATGTTAATAACCAAGTTTTCGTTTTTGATTCACGATATTTTTATTGTTCCCTTATAGAGCTTGATTTTTGGTAAGAATTTCAAGTTGATATCATTTTTCGTTTTTGAATTAGGATTTTTTTAATATTTCAACACTCCTTAACCCCCCATTTTTAATCATATTTTTTTTAAATAAATAGGCTTTGTCCTATCTTTTTATATTTTATATTTAATATTTTAAGAGTTAGTTAGGGGGGGTAAGACTTAAGATTCTCACTGTATAAGGGGATATATTAAAAAAATATATGTTCATGTTATCACCCTGGGTATGATAGTCAAATAATTTATTTTATAAATTGAAAGGAAGTTTTAAAATAATGAATAGTACAAAGTAAATTACTATGTTACTATATTTATTTTAGTTGAAGCCTTATAAACACACTGTATATCAATTAACATTATTTTAACTATGTAATTCCTTAATTTTGAAGCATCTAATCTTTTTGATCTTTTTTAGTGTTCAAAATTCCAAATATAGAATCCTAGTCATCGCCATCAACTGCTTCGGTTATTAGCCTCCTGTTTGTATAGCACTGTTGATAATTTAGAACCCGACTTAGAACCCAACAGTGAATGGTCGAGTTTAGAAAAATTTTGTTATTTTTTAGGTAGTACAGAGTTTCTTCAAAAGCCTTTCGGAATTTCTGATATCAGAATTCCTGTGTACACAATTTTTCTAATAAATTTACCCTTCGATTATAATACTCTTTATTTTGTAATATAAATGTAGATACCAATTTAATGTAAGGGATTAAGGTAAAAATAGTAGAACCATTTTATTTTGAACAATCCTCTCAAACATTCACCATTATTAAAAAAAAAAAAGAAAATTTGCCAAATGTTAGGAATTTTGTTCCGTATTTTCTATAAATACCTATATTACACTATTTTTATGTTCACCTATCAGGTGTAAGATATTTTTATCTAATTGTTGGTTGACGATTTAAAAATGTTGTCCTTTGTTTTTAAAACGCTCGGTCTTCTAATAAGATTTTAAAATTAACTAATTATGAAACAACTGCTTACAGTATGAGTCATTATTTATTTTGTAATACGGTATAATATTAGTTTTACCATTTTTTTTTGAATCTGTAACTTTTTGAGTTCTAGATATCAATTATTGATCCACCCCTTTAATTGGAAAATAATTTTCTCAATTTTTACTATTTCAAATCTTCGATTCTTGAGATATAAAAGCTATAGAATAAGAGCCAGCGACCACCAGATCTAGGTTATAGTATGAACCTTAAGATTGTTCATGTGTGGGTAATGCATAAAGGTTAATACCACATACCCAACTAATCATTGATAAAAGCGTATTTCTTATGAAGCTAAAGCCTAAATCATTCCATTTCTAAAATCGGAGTGAGATAATCCAATATGTTGGCACTTCACTTTCCCATAACATTAATTAACGAATTGGAACAAATCTGCTTACCTGCACCTGAAACAAAGAAAAATACAAAATTAGATGAAAAGAAATTTTTAAATTCTATTAAAAACAAAAGCTGGGACAATTTCTACAAAACTTAAAACATTGATGAAAAAACGGGCATACTAATTAACAAAATAAATTACTCAATAAAAAATGGAACTGTCCAAAAACAAGGTCTGATGAAATCGGCAAAACACAAAGAAACGTTATATCTTCTTCAAAAAAATGATACGGAAATGAGGCAAAAAGACTAGAATATAACAGATATAAAAACAAATTTAATAAACTTATAAAAAAACTAAAGAAGATTATTTTATTGATAGAATTACAGATAGTAAAGATAGTAAAACTCTATGGAAAACCGTAAATACCTACATTGGAAAACAACCTGAACAAAATAATATAATTGAAATAGATAAAAACAATGTTAAACTAACTGAAAGAAAAGATGTAGCAAACCATTTCAATGAGTATTTTTTTAATGTAGGAAAAACCTTGGCGGAAAAAATTAAAAAACCAGATATAACATGGAATCGAAAATATAGTTGCCAATCGGCTTTTTTCTGCCAACTTGTGAAGAGGAAATAAAAAAGGCCATAAGAGATTTAAAACCGAAAAAAGCACCAGGAATAGACAGAATAACTAGTGAACACTTATTACTTATTAAGGAATTTATAAAGAAATATATGAAATATTTTTAAAGGGTCAATTTCAAGGACCTTTAGAAGCGGGTTTAATTAAGCCTCTACACAAAAAGGACGATAAAAAAAATACTTAAAATTATAGACCAGTATCATTAATAACAAATATTTTTAAAGTTTTTATTTCATCCATTTTACATTTGAACAATAGAGCTTAGGAGCGAGAACATAGAGTGTGCTCGATGTTCTCAGAGCAGAAGGATCGAGAAATAAGAGAAATTTGTCTTTGTCTCTAGCTATCTCTTTTTAATTAACCTACAAAGTTGAATCTCAAAATTCGAGTCCAGACAAGAGGTCAACAAATTATTTAGCCGCTTTTGTCTTATAGCTAAAATTATTCATCATAAAAAATAAAATGTGTCTTTGGAAAATACAATTTGTCTGCTCAGAACTAATCACCAGTAATCACAGTCATGTAGTTTGAAAGCGTAGTGGGCATTTGTGGTATATGATGCATTAATAAAAGTTTTTACATTTTCTTCATTTTTTGCTCACTGTTTTGACACACAAACCAAAAACAAGAATCACAAAAGAGCGAGGTTATTTTTTTCCCTCTGTTTTATTTGATTCATTGCTCTATTGTGACGTCATCACTTCTCGGTCTCCTCGATGCTTGATCGAGTTTTAAATCAAACGAACCTTACAATATTTATCCTCGAAAAAATAGAACGGATCTGATTGACCACGTAAAATACAGAAGAACAAGTCAAAATTGCCACTCAAAATATACGTCATTCTGGTTTAAAAATGTCAGAAACTAACGTACCAGAAATAAAGCTTACCAAAAAATTATTTCATGCCGTTTCTGATTCAGTACTATCAGTTCAAGCTCGAAAGTTAATAACTTTAGGGTAAGATAACGGATCGATTTTGAACTATTATATTATTATTATAAGTATTTTTAAAAATATACAAAAATATTGGTGAACTTAGGATTGGAAGATGATCTGCTTAAATGTAAATTACTGGTTAAGGAAACTGTATATATGTTAAGAAAATTAATGTTTATTTTATATTTAGATCACTGAAAAATTATTGGAAACTGATCGCGTACGGATTTTCACAAAATTTTGCACTAAAAGCACAGCTTAGCATATTTTTTGATGATCACACCTAGAAATCACTTTTTTAAGCATTTAATGTTGTCGCTCCATGCTCCTATTCAGCCAATTGGATCCATTTGTTGTATCAGAAACATAAAACAATAGTAGGGGTTTTTATAATATCAAAATTTATGAAAATTAAGTAGGTAATTAAAAAAGTAAGTTTTGACAAAAAAAACAAGACTTTTTTTAATTCCCTCTATTTATTAAGATACCAATGTAAAAAATATGCAGTCCTTTTAGAAAAGAAAAACTCACACTTACTTCATAATTTTATCAAGTCTTGGATACTAAATTTATTAAATTATTCACTTTTATTAAAAAAATTGTATCCTCAACAGTAATTTTATCTAGAATCCAAACCACATGTGGCCGACTTATGTTATGTTGGGGTGTTAATACACTGCGACCTAAGAGATTTATTGTGTCCCCTTCTGTCGCCAATGCACCAAGGAAATGTCTCAATGCCTATAACGACCCTTTCAATCCTATTTTCTCAAGAAAGTGTAGGATTTGAAGTGGCTTCAAGTTAGGTAAATTTCTCTCTTCTATTTGATATCCTCCTAGATATAGTGCCCTTGGATTCTGGAGTGCTACACAATCAATTAGGATGTGAATGGAGGTTTCATCCTCCTCCTCCTCACAGAATCTGCACTCACTATCCTCTACTACTCTCAGTTTACTTAGGTGTCCTTTTAGTCGGCAATGCCCGGTAAGGATCCCTGTAAAAATACGTAGCCTGTCCTTGCTCAGGCAGATGCAAGCTTCCGATCTTTTCTGGTTATATTCACCCAGAAGTATCTTGGCTTGTCTCAGCTCCAAGAGATTGTTCCAATTATCGGTTCTTCTACTGCCCAATTCTTCTTTAATCTCTTCTAATATTATGTTACTGCTAATACCGCAGAACGTCTCAGGTCTTACAAAGGGTGTTTGAGCCCCTTTCCTTGCAAGAGTATCTGCAATCTCGTTACCCTGTATCCCGTTATATCCGGGGACCTAAGTGAGAGTAACTCTATTTTTCTCGCCTGTTTTTCAACTGTTCTAGGCATCTCCAGACCATTTTTGAGCTGATTACGTAAGAGCTCAGCACTTTGATGGCTGCTTGACTATCGGACATGATGATAATCTTTTGTCTATGACAGTTTCTCTCGATGTTGAACTGGATACACTTCTCGATGGCGTGAATTTTCGCCTGGAAGATGCTTGGGTACTTTCCCAAGCTTTCAGAGTGCTTGGTTCTCGGCCCATACACTCCTATTCCAGTTCCTTCTATGGTTTTGGAACCATCTGTATACCACGGAATAGCACTTCTTTCAGTTGCAAGCGCGATGGATTCTTGGCTCCATTCTTTCTTGCAGCCCAGCTCTGTGGTTCTGAAGTCTTTCACAAAACTGTACTTCTTTAGCATTTCATCCTGAGGCATGTCCCAGGTATCTGAAGCAAGCAGACTTTCTTCTGATTACTTCGTTCCTGATCATTCTATATCGTGTCCTTTTTGCCACATTCTTTATCATGAAATGTAGAGAGGTGAGCTTTAAGATCACCTCCATTGCGGCCGTAGGACAGGTTCTCATTGCACCAGTAATACAAACACAAGCTAGTCTTTGTACTTTTGAGATATTAGCTCTCGTAGTAGCTAAACTAGTTCTATTACTCCAGGTTATAGCCCCGTAAGTAATGATTGGTCTCACTATTAGTATACATCCATCGCAGTATGTTTGGGTTACATCCCCATCGTTTGCCTGCAATATTTCTGCATACTATTATTAGGGGTTTTGTGGCCTTATTTACTACTTCTTTCCATGTGTGTTCCAGAGAAGTTTTTTGTCCAGATATTTGCCTAGATATTTGACTTCATTTTTCCATTCTATATCTATCACGTGTAATTTAACGGTTTTGAGATTAAGTTTTCTTTTCCTTGAAAATGCTACTAGTGTTGTTTTTGTAGGATTGTGGCCGACTTGAGATGCATAATTATAAAAATCGTTTCCAAAATTATAAATGTTATCAATTTATCTTTCCATTCCCTCTTATTTTCAATTAACAATTCCTGCTATTTCAGTCAGTCATTTCATTCTTACTTTCTTTTTTATATCCTCTCCAATTATTTTATCATTCTACCTCCATTTCCATAGTTTTCGACTAATGAATTATCTTATCACTTCAGTTTTTAACTCTTCTTTTTTTCTACTGTAGCGCCTACACACCCATCCAATTTCTCAACCTTTGACCCATTAAATTTCGTTGACCTAACCATCACTTCAATAAAACATCTTTTTTTTTTTTTTGAATGTAATCTTCGTATTTTTTTCTACAATTACTCCAATTGTCACTTCAATTCAATTCCTTTTTCCATTAAATCATAACACCAACACCTAACAGTCCTTAATTTATTGTTTCTTATAGATTTTTCTTCTTTTATTGATTTTATTAGTTAATTATTATTTTATCTATAATTATTTATCTATTTTACTCCAATTTTTCTTTTAGTTTATCCTTTCTTTTCATTTTTATATAATCAATATCTAGCAGTTTCTTTATTTGTTATTTCAAATATATCCTTCCTTATATTTTAGAATGCTTGATATTAGTTTTATTAGTTTATTCTTACACTTTTTATTCACTCCTTTCTAATTCTATAAGTCTACCATTCTTCAAATACTTCCTCTAAGTTAACATTTACTCTAATTTTGAAGATTTAACTCCTCCAATGGTACAAACAAAATTTCTTAAATAATTTTTTAATTACTAAGCCAATAGTGCCAATGTAGTTTAAATTGAGCTTACATAGATTCTCACAGCAGCAACCGAAATTATAAGATAGCAGACAAGTTCAACTCACCTTGGAAAGACCACAAATATACTCAGGGTTAGTACTAGAATGTCATGAAACTTTGGCTGACGTATTCATCAACAATGTGGTCACCTTAAGATGGATCAAAGATCAAAAGTGTGAATTTCAATCAAAGATGGGATGAAATAAAAAGCTGCAGAGTTGCCAAGGAGCTTTCAAGTTATCCTGACAACTTTACAACAGACAAATTCTTGGCTATGGCTAGACATAATCTGCAGCGGGTCACAGGCATTCTAATTAGCCGCTGCTAAGTACGGAAGCACATCCATAGCATGGGGTGTCAAAATTTTATTATAATTCAACTTGATAAACTTTTATTAGGCTTTAGAACCCGATCTGATCGAATGACGTGAATTTAAAATTAGTTTACATTTGACAAAGTTTATCAGGTTTCGCAAAACTTCACGAAAATTCGTACCTGGCCAATTTATCTTAATATTTACTCGGGTCGGTGGTGTAGCGGTCTCACGCGCTTATATTCATTTATAGGCAAGTTTCTGGTCAGAGACAAATGGGCTTCGAATCCTACGCTAGACCATGTGGATTTTTAATTAAATTGCATGGTTCGGTATAGGATTTGATGTGTGCCGTATTAATAGAAATTTAATTTCTGTTGATATGACATGCAGATTATAAAATCGCCATGCATTACCGTCTCGATGATGGTGGGTGAGGTTTTCCGGGTTTTCCTCACCTGTAAGTCAAATGGCACCATCAATCATCTTTAAGTCGCCCCGGAGCGCCACGGCAAATAATAATAATAGATGTCCCTTTCCCCCAACAAGCTTAGCTTTTGGGGTTAAAATTCACTCGTAAGGGGGTGAATTAGGGAGAGTATTATTATTATTTCATAAATATTTTCAATAAAAATTATAAAAAAAGAGCCACATACTATAATAATTATGGATAATTATTATCCTTATTATTGGAAAAGAAAAAAGAAAGAACAAACATTTAACAACATTTAATATATTTCATTTATTATAGAGAAGAAAAAAAACATGCACAAATCGAAAATGGAGGTGGAGAAGATTTTGATCCCCATCTACACAGGCACAGCGAACACCCCACCACGTAAGTCATCAATAATTTTATTAATTTTTTAGACTGATACATTTTTGTTCTTAAAAATTAAGTAAGTCATATCAATTTTTTATTTCTAGTCTTATGCTAACTCTCTTTCCCTCCTATCCTGTTTTAACTAACTTAATATAATAGTCCCGTTTACACAAAATATAATTTGCAAACACTGAATTAATTTCATTAAAAAAAACTCTTGCGAATTCTTTAAAACATTTTTTAAAAGTACAGCCCGTTTGATCAATATATATTTCCATTAGGTTCCTTTACGGTAATTAATTTCTATATTTGTCTATCAAACTCTAATCAAATTTTTATTTGTTAAAAGGCATTGCTATAAAACTGTACATTACCCTTTCACAGTCTCAATACCTTTTCAAACTTCAATATTAACCGCGCCAATTTTAAGTCTGTGCAAGAAGCAGTACTATTGAAGCAGCAGAATGATGATTATCTTAATTACTTATTAATTTTCAGAAATGCAGAAACCCTCGTTCATTTGCTCAAAGGTGCCATCGGCACAGGCATTCTGGCCATGCCTGAAGCCTTCAAATATTCCGGGATGATCAACGGCATCATCTCAACTATCCTTATTGGTTTACTCTGTACTTACTGCCTTCACGTTTTAGTAAGTACTCTATTAATTATAATTGTTATAACTGTATCACTTTTAAACCGTTGAATGATTAACAATTATTAGTTTCAAACTCACGTAGTTGTTTAATTGTAGGTTAGGTCGCAGTATGTAATGTGTAGAAGGTTGCGAGTTGGACTTCTGACGTATCCAGAATCGATGAAAGCAGCTTGCGAAATGGGACCGACGTGCCTTAGAAGATTTGGACCATGGGCACCGTAAGTATCTAATACCTAATACTTAATCCAAATCATATTATTTATCTGAAGCAATGCGGTCTTACTCTTGGATTTGAATTATTATAGACTGTAGATGCTTCAAAAAATGCATACCTATTTGTTTTTGTTCCAGAGCCATAACAAACTTCTTCTTAATATTCTACCAGATAGGAATATGTTGCGTTTACATAGTGTTCGTGGGTGTCAACATTAAAGCTGTAGCAGATGAATATATAAAGCCGGAGATATCTCTTACATTGTATACTCTGATGTTCTTCATTCCATTTTTGCTTATCATGATGGTAGGTACAGTTATGTAGAGTCTTCAACAATATCCATATTCTACCTGACCGAATTGTTGTTATCAGTTGGCCAAAGTACACTTAATAACTGCTGCAATAGTAGCTCCACTGACATATTTAACAAAACTGATAATTAAATTTGTCGTAAAGTCACTAAAAAGGAAGACAAGTGACAAGTGTCAACTGATGGCAAGGTCAAAGACTAGAGCAGGTTAGGTTATGTTTGTAGTGATTCCAATAAAAGATTAAATATACCCAAATGAAAGAAAACTAACTTTCTATGTTCAAAGACCTATAAGAATTGAACTGATTCCATTGTACAATCGGTAGCTCTTAAAGAGAACCAAAAATGGCACCATAAAAGTGTACTTATACAATTCTTAAGGAAAATGAACAAGAAAATTATGAGATTAAATAAAAAAAATTAAATTTTTTTTTTTATTTTTTTATATTTATTTTTTATTTTTTATATTTATTTTTTATATTAATTTTTTATTTTTATCTCGTAAATTCAGCTTAAATATTAAATTTATGTATTCTCCAAAATCAATTTAGAAATGTAGATACCAATACAATATTTTTTTATTACTTGCCTTATTATGAAATACAAATTAACATTATACCTGTTTTTGTTTTTGTTTTTGTTTTTAATTTGTAGGTGAGAAATCTAAAGCTTCTAGCACCCTTTTCGATAGCAGCTAATTTAATCACCCTGCTTACCTTCTGCGTAGTTGGATATTATGTGTTTCAAAATCTACCTCCTTTTTCAAGTATACCCGCATTTGGCCCTCTAGTAAGCTATCCCCTGTATTTCGGAACCTGTCTATTTTCACTTCAAGCTTGTGGCGTGGTAAGTACCAAAATGTTCTGTTATTTTAGCATTATTATCGATCCATCAACTATATTGTGTCACCACGCTTGAATATACTAACAGTATTGTAAAAATTTAAAGAAATTATTAAAAAATGCCAACATCTTAAAAATGATAATATCTAAACAATGACAACATCTGAAAAATGACAACATCTAATCAATGGCAACGTAAACAGTAGCAACAACTAAACAGTAGCAACACCTAAAAAGTAACAACATCTAAAAAGTAACGACAACTTAACTTTAGAAACAACTAACCAATGGATTCTAAACAATAACAACATATCTACACAATGACAACATCTAAAAAAATGATAATATTTAAACAACAACAACAACAACAACAACAACAACAACAACAACAACAACAAAACATTTAAAAAATTTGAACAATGACAACGTAAACAGTGGCAACATCTAAACAGTAGAAACATCTAAACAGTTGAAACATCTAAACAATGTAAACAATGCCAAAATCTATACAATGATAATATCTAAAAAATAACAATACATAAACAATTACAACATCAAAAAATAATAATATAATAATAATAATAATTATTATTATTATTATTATTATTATTTTAAATGTTCACGATTTACATTATATACACTTATTGAAACATCCTGTATTAGGGTGTCTCTAATATATGCCAAATTTAAATACTTTAGCATATACTTAGAACGTACATACAATGAAATGTAAGTAGATACTTATTGCATACTGTACTCATACTTGAAGTACATTCTTAGTATCTGCATAGTACATATAAACAACGTCACGTAACATATACTTAATAAATTCTGAAAATGTACTAAATGCAAATAAAGTATATTCTCAGCATATGTATATTCTTAAAAAGTATATACTAAGAATATGCTAAGCATGTATAATTATTATCTGGGATAACATCTATGCAATGACATCTAATCAATGACATCCAAACAGTGATATATAAACAATGACAACATCTAAATAAAAAATGACCACATCTAATCAAAAAATGTCAACATTTAAACTGTAACAATATGTAAATAAAAAATTGTCAAAGTCTATATAAAAAATAACAACATCTAAACAATTACAACATCTAACATATGCTTAATATATTCTGAGAATGTACTAGATGCAAATAAAGTATATTCTTAAAAAGTATATACTAAGAATATGTTAAGCATGTATAATTGTTATCTGGAATAACATCTAATTAATGATATCCAAACAATGATATATAAACAATGACAACATGTAAACCAAAAAATGACCATATCTCATCAAAAATTGTCAACATTTAAACAATAACAATACATAAACAAAAAAATGTCAAAGTCTATACAAAAAATAACAACATCTAAACAATTACAACATCTTAACATATACTCAATATATTCTGAAAATGTACTAGATGCAAATAAAGTATATTCTCAGCATATGTATATTCTTAAAAAGTATGTACTAAGAATATGCTAAGCATGTATAATTGTTATCTGGGGTGACATCTAAACAATGACATCTAATTAATGACATCCGAACAATGATATATAAACAATGACAACATGTAAACAAAAAATGACCAAAAAATGTCAACATTTAAACAATAACAATATATAAACAAAAAAATGTCAAAGTCTATACAAAAAATAACATCTAAACAATGACAACATTTAAACAATGGCAACTTTTAAACAATGGCAACATCTAAACATTTATGTTCAAATAAAAGTATAATTTGTATTTTAGGTGATCGCTTTAGAAAACAACATGGCCGAACCGAAAAGTTTTCTGAAACCATTCGGCGTTTTGAATGTTGGAATGGTTTTAGTCACGTTCATCTATGTAGGCCTTGCAATGATGGGATATTGGCGATACGCCGATGAAATCAAGCCGAGTATTACTTTAAATTTTCCGTCAACTGATATGTAAGTAACTTCAGAAAGAGTCTGGCGATCTGTGATGAATATTAAAGACTCGATTATCCACAAATGCTTTCGTTATTAATATTACGATGCTCTTGTTTCATTCCAGTTTAGCACAAGCAATCAGAATATTGTATTCGACTGCCATATACATCTCTTACGGACTACAGGGTTATCCAGCCGTGCAGATTATCCTTACTAACTATATTTTGCCCAATATGAGTACCTCTGCATCCGATAAGAAGAAGTTGACATACGAGTACCTGCTTAGATTTGTCTGTGTCGCTGTTACATGTAAGTACATATTTTCAGTATTTATTTCAATTTAAATAACTTTCATTTTCTTTTCTTTTACTTTTTAGTTGCTCTGGGCATAACTGTTCCTCTGCTAGGACTCTTCATCTCCTTAGTAGGCGCTTTCTGTCTATCAGCTCTAGGAATCGCCTTCCCAGCAATCATCGAAATCGCAGCTTACTGGCCTGACCGCCTAGGCCCAGGCAAATGGATACTATGGAAAGACGGGCTCCTCATCATAATCGGCGTAGTAGGTCTAGTCGCAGGTAGCTACAGTTGCATCTACGAGATAGTTAAGTCTTTAGCCGAAGGCAAAACGTGAACAGACCGATAACGCGTCATAGATCGATAAGAAAAGCGTCTAGGGAGATCCGAAGTCCGGCTTGGATCTGTAGAAGATGAATCAGTAGCTTAGATTAGTGTTAGGAAACCTTAAAATTTAAGTTTATCCTTAAGCTATCGAAATAAGAAAAAGCATTGCTTGGTTGATCAGAATGACCGGTTCTGGCAGTTGGTTATCTTGAAATTGATAAAAAAATGTCTTTTTGGTGTTTTTGGGGCAAGTGTCTGAATGTTTTAAGCAAGGCTGTGAATACCTAAAGAGTTATCTACTATTGATTGATTATTTGTGAATCTCATGGGAAATTTAAAAGGAATAATTTTGTTTTAGAAGTCTTTAAGTGGAATTTATACTTTTAAGAGTTTGCTATTTAATAGTTAGGATACTCTGAATTCTTGGATCATATGAACACTACAACAAATATTTTGTTGCACATATATACAGCGGTACCTATAGAGAGCAAGATAGACTTTCGACCTGATTAACAAGGGGCGGCCATTTTGATATGGGGTTACTAGTACATAGGTGACCAGACATACATCATTACGAAAACTTGGTTGCATATATTTAGTATCAATTTAAGATTATCCCTTTATAATAAGATTTTACAGGACAAGACATCTTAAATAAATTCTAATTTGAACATTTTTGAACAAATGAAATGTTTATATTACCTACAATCAACATATTTTCAACATATTTTAGAACAAACAGAGCAATGCAAAAAATTAGATCAAATTCAATTAAAATTTGACATTTTTAACAGATTGAAGATAAATTGGTTGCATGAGTTTAAGTTTATTGATATAAAAATGGCGGCCTTTCTATCTTCTTTTATTAAAATCACCCAGTAAAGATGCGCATGAGCTGTATACCTCAATAGGTATGTGATTATGTCCAGGATATTTCGGTTATTGTTGTTGTTTATCCAATGTTAAACACAATAAAAATGTATTTTACACATTTAAAATTATTTGTTTTTTGTTGTAGAATCAGCAATTAAAATTTTTATATCGTTTGATGAGCTAATTAAAAATATAAGGTAACAAAATATTTATATCACAGATTAATTTTTCTTTATCATGAATCCCTGTCGTCCTGTTCATTCATATTGATTGATTATAGAGTAATAAATATAATAATTCTAATTGTTTTCACTTAATTTTTCTTAACCAAGCAATAAAAGTAGATAATTTAAAAAAATGCTTCTTTTCTTCTTTTTTTTAATTTAATTTAGTTTTTAAGGTTAGAAACACGTTACTACGTATTGTACGTGTTGATGAATTTATACAAATTAGTAATCCATGTTCCAATGGAATAATAATTAAATTTTTTAAATCTAAAGATGATGTAGGTATCTTAGACTGATATTTTATAGTTATAGATTTTTTCTATAGTGCCTCTGATTTACTTTCCGCTCCAAAATATGTACAAAAAGATTATCAGAAAGCACTTTACACTTATATATAAGGTGGTACAATATTTATGCCCAAAGCTTTATATTATCTATAAACATATTTCCAAATTATTTTTTAAACATAGATTCAGTTTTATATTTTGAATCTAATGTTAAACTTTTTATCGTTATTAGTTTGTTTTTTAAGGTTAGGTATGCAATTTTTTTTCAAAAAAGTGTTTAATATAGATAGAATATAATACTTTTGTATACCTATTAGTAGAAATAGGATGAAAAAGCATGTTTGGACAAAAGTATCATTCTTTAAAATAACTATTAATTTTGGTTATTTAAAAACTGCAGTTATACACTTTTAGAAGAAGTTATTCGTAGATTTTCTTTTTTGCTCAAAAGAATGAAATATTAAATCAGGTAGGTATATAGAATACATTTAATTGAATTGATTTTTACTAAGAAAAATAACTCAGTTGTTAAACTGAAACTGATATCCTTTTTCAGTTATGTTTCTTTTTTTTAAATGAAATTTTAATTTTGTTTTTTTGTGTTAAATATTAAAAAAACATTGTAAATTGTATTTTTATTTATTTAATATGTCAACCAACTTCGAATATTTAAAATTACGATTTTTAATTGTTAAATAGCATAATTTTAAATGATTTATACACGGTGTTTCTGTATGTCAAAAAATTAATTTTTGTGTTTTTGAAATAGTTTTTTTTAGTAACTAATGATTTTTGTTAAATATAACTAAATTTATTTGCTTGTTTTTTTACATTTTTTATTCTGATTGTATTCGATAAAAATTTTTAAAATTTGATACAGTCGCGTACAAAAAATTTTGTAAATTCTAAACCTAAAATAGTTAATAGAATGCAGAAACACAATTTAACAAATTTATTCATAATTTTATCTATTTTTAATTTACAATAATTATCTATTTACTCATCGAAAAATTCTGAAAATCTATAAATAGATTTACGAAAAAATCGCACTCTTAACTGTACAAAAAAAGCATCCCAGTGACTGATAATATTTTTTTAGAATTTTTTAGGGGTTTTTAGCTAATTGCGTATATATTTATTTTTTGATATTTTAGTTATGTAGATTCAAGTCCGGAATATTGTTGTGCTATTGTACGTATGACAAAATTTGTTAATAAAAAATTAAAACAAATTAGATTTTTTCTTTCCCACTTTCTTTATAAAACCTTCCTTAATTAAGATGCGTACAGAACAAACGAACAAGAACAACTTGCATCTTATCAAAATCTCATTCTTTCCTTATTTAATATACAAATTAAAATTAAAAAATACCAAAAATATCTCCTGAGTATCCTAACTTTATATCCATCTATCTGAACTGGTTTGGTTCAAATCTCACTTCTACTGAAATTTCTACGAGATAAGGTCCTTCTCTTCATATATTTTATCTTTTTCTGTTATTAGAATATCAAAAATTTCATAAAGTCCTGAAAAATAGTCTTGAAAGTTTTCATCCAAGTTTATTTGTAATATATGCCAACGGTACAACCACTTTTCCACCACAAGGCGCAGGAAAACCTAACAGTACCTCTTCTGCTGCAGCAAACGCACTTCTAAAGGCGTCTGTTATTATTAGAGAGGTATGTCTTTGTATATAATTTTCTGCTTGTCTTGTGCAACTATATGACTGATGTGTAGTACATAAAGAGTACCACAACCTTAGTATAGGACGGATGCATCTTACTTGGATTAGGCCTCCATGTATTTTCTACCATCTGTCTACGAGCTCATAATAGTTTTATAGCATCTTCTGTATGGCTGTAGAAGCTAAGCTTGTCACCAAGAGTGATTCTAAGATGGTTGACTTCCTTTTCAATTTTTAGATGTTGCCTTTAACTTGCGAATGCAACAACATGTTCCCTAACTTTATTTTTATATAGAGGTTCGAACCTCTGATCAAAATAGCCTAACTATATGAAAAGTAGGCAACCTATATTTTTCAAATTCTTTATTTAATATTTTCTCGTCTAATGTTTGATTTTCATGAATAACAAATCAGAGAAGTTGATCAAAAAACTTAATAAAAGTGAATATTATTATTTAACATATATAATTTTTATCATCATCAAATAACAGATGAGGGTATATATTTCTAATACCGTATCTCGTACTATAATGATTTGCCCACATACTTTGATTACTATACGGCGCAAGAGAGAGGTCCGACACACCCAACATAGGGCGCGGCCATTTTGATTCCTATGCCACAGTTTATAGCTAAAGAATCAGAGCTCTCACTCTGCGTCGGCACTTTTGATCTCAATGTTTTAGTTTATAGACTGCGCAAGTCGGATAATACAATATATGACAACCGCCTATAATAAAACAGCAGTCTTCTACGTATCCTGAATTTGTATCCCTGGAGTGAATGTTATTTTGGAACTTTCAACTGGTTCGAGTGAGCTAACTGATTCTTTAGCAATAAACTGTGACTCCAAAAATAATATTCACTGACACTGACAGCAGCAAGCAAAATATCAGGTGCGTTTTAATCATCCGCTTCTGCTTCCGGAATTGTCGATTTAGTCGTTTTAACCTGTCAGATTAAAACAAGAAAACCGACAATTTCGAAGCAGAAGCGGATGATTAAAACGCACCTATTAAAAATATTGCGCCAAGATGTAGGCAACACGTAATAAGGGATCAAAATGGCGGAGTTTTCTATCTCCTTTTAAAAGGCACTCAGAAAGCTGCGCAGTGCGACCATTCTCCGTATAGTAAAAGAAAATCAAAGTATGTGGATTTGCCTAATTCACAGATAGGCAAGACTTTTTAATGATTAAAGAACTAGTGAAGGATCAGAATAAATAGTTAAAAAAATTGTACACATGAGAGGTAAACGATCAATGAGAAGAAGAAATAAAAGGTTTTGTGGCGCAAGTACACTTGAAAACGATCTTAAATATTATGTCACCGTCTTGTCAATATTCGTCATTCACTTCTAATTGAAACTGTACTTAAGTTTTGAATAAAGTTATATTTTGTAAATACAAATGAAGTAATAAACGCACGGTTTTACATGAAATGAACCAGACTACATAAAAATGATAGTTTAAGAAGAACATTTCCCACAAGAATTATGAAGCTTGATACGCCAGGGTATAGAACAAATTTATTATTGATAGAATGAATCTTGATTTATAACAAAATGAACAAATTCCTTAGTTGTCAATACTTTTAAATATAATCTATAGAATTACTATAGTATGGGAGACATAAGTATTCAAGATTATAACAACAGAATACATCTTTTACAACAAATTTAGTAGATATTATATTTAAATTATATTTCTGGCTAGGAATAATTTTTTTTTATTTTAGTTTTCCCACAGAAGTGCCGGACGATGATTATGAACCGTACGATGAAAGATATTTAAGAAAACCCCTTAAGTAAGTTATACAGGGTCCTGCAACAGTAGTAGTAATGTAAAAATATGTTCAACTCTACAAACCGGCCCAAAAATATTTAATCCTTATTTCAATTGGAAAGCGCTATATAGTTTGACATATTTAGAAGTATTAGGTGACAATTTATTCATGTTTAAATTTTGGATATAATTGAGAGCTCCTCACGTTTTAGAAATATGCAGCGTGTAATAACTAGACAGGGAAGTCATGTGTTGGACACATCAGATTTTTTATACGAAACTATTATGTAACGCCATTATTGCAGGACCCTGTATATTGTATGATTTTTATTAATACCTTAGTCTTAGATTTTAGAAATTACTGACGTACAATTTTAATTTTTAAAGAAACTGGGAAGCATACAATCTAATAATCAGAGGATTTCTGGGAACAGGATTATTATTACTTCCAGAGGCGTTCCGGTATTCAGGTGTACTAGTCGGTATAGTAGATTTGGTTGTTGTATCGATATTCGTGACTCACATGTACCATTTATTTGTAAGTATAAGTATTATCATACATATATGGTAATAATACAAAGCAAGTCAGTAGTTTACTGTTAGCGCAAAGAAACATATAAGTAAAATGGGATAAATAAAGAGAAATATGCTTCATTATCCTTCTCATCATATCCCACCCAACAAATATTTTGTTATGGCAACCTTTAAACATGTACATTAGCCACAGTCTAATTTATCTGATATGGGAATGCACTGTAGTTAATTTTCAATTACTTACGCCTACTGTAACTGTGTATGAGCCCAGTATATGTATTCTAGCAGTAATGACACATCTTGGGCGAGAAAAAGACGCACAGCTTCTACTGCGCTGACGTTTTCGGAATATAATCTATCACTTCTATCATAAATCCGGTTAAAAATTCGCTACCATGCGCAGGCAACCCATATTTCGTGCACAAATGCAAACTTTGGTTTACATTTTATCAAAATACTTTTTGTAATACATTCACAGCTTAAAAACGAAAAATTTCTTATTTTGATAGTGGATTTAGATCAAAAATACCCCAAATACACTTCAGTGGGTGTTTTATCCTTATTATTAGGTATTATTACTCTATAAAGGTATCTCACTTATACACACGAATTTGAAAAGCAGCAGAACAAAAATTTAACTAACGAGGTATAACCAAGTCCTTGTAAAGAAAACTTTTCATATCCTGAAAACGTCAAGTGTCAACTAAAATATCTACTTTTTTCTTGAGGGGTAAAATCCGTTAAGGACATCCTTTGCTTGGATCAATCGCAATAGGATAGTATGGAGACTCCTGGGAACGTTCAGATCCGCTCAGTATACACACTAAAACATCTCTGGTCTTCTTAAGTAGCTGCTTCTGGTACATTTTATCCCAGTAATTTGTACCTAGGTATAATATTGTCAAATTTCTCTTTATTTCAGAATGGTGGGAAAATACAAAAAGAAGAGCGATCGGCAATCCTGGAGTGAGGTTTCTATGAGGTCAGCTATCGATGCAGTGCAAATGGGCGATATGGGGTGGCTTGCAGCTTCAAAACAATTCAATGTTCCGCAAGCTACGTTAAGAAGGCGAGCTCAGAATAAAAACAAAAAAGTAAAAGGTATTGAAAAAGGCCTTGGACGTTTTTCTACAACTTTTCCAATGGAAATGGAAAATGAACTGGTTGAACATATTAAGTCGCAGGAAAATATGTTGTTTGGACTGTAACCGAACTAAGGAAACTGGCTTTTGAGTTCGCCGAAGCAAATAACTTACCACATCGATTTTGTAAAGATGAAAAAATGGCGGGGTTTGAGTGGCTTAGGGGATTTCGTATGCGTCATCCATAAATTTGTTTAAGAAAACCAGAATCTACCTCTGCAGCCAGGGCACAAGCCCTCAACGGACCTCAAGTGACTAGTTTTTTCAACGTCTGGAACAAGTCATGGAAAAATATAATTTTGAACTCTACAACATATACAGGGTGTTTCATAATATGCGCAGGACTTCAGGACGTGATAGCTCGTCCAAAAATATGAAAAAACGTTTCTATTAACTTACCCTCTATATACTATTTAAGTTCCTTCGTATTCTTAGTAAACTACCGACTTGTGTTGAAGTTTGTAGGGTTTGCCACAAATGACTAACTAGTTTATTTATATTGCAGATGAAGTCTAGAATAACTTTATGCAAAATTTTGAGGGTCGCATCCTTATATTATCCACAGGCAATGAAATTTGGATTCGAAGCAGGTCCTAGTTGTCTTAGAATATTTAGTCCAGTGATAGGGTAAGTAGTGATACAGTAGAAGTATCAGAAGTAACCTTTAGTTACTGTTCTGTTAGACCAAGGAGGTATATTCATGTTGTAAAAATTACATTTTGTTTGTATTACCTTGAGTTTTGTGATTCAACTTTCACAAAATAACCCATAAATACAATCATGAACTTTAATGTGAAGGACAAATAAAACATGAAATCAGAACGACAACAAATTTCACCTAAAGCCGGCATCACAGTGGTAACCCCATTCAAGCTTTATATCTTATTTTTTTTTGGAATCTACGGTTCAAAGTATTTATGACAGTGTTTTTAAATTTTATTTTTTCACAAACATATTTTTTTCCAATAATACTATATCATCTAAATCATCATCACTGTTATTATCATCGTCACTGTTATTATCATCGTCATTTAAAGCCCTAAAATTAAAATTTCCTTCATAAGTAACTAATAATACTTGCTTAAAAAATAAGATTATAAAGTTGTAGATACGTTTTCGTCAATGCTTCTGTATTAACTATTATTTTCTTTGCAATTACTAGTTTAACGTATCTTCAATTTATACGTTTACCTCAGAGATATGCGTATACCTTTCTAGCATTTATTTAACACTATAATATCTAATTTTTTAGAATCTTCGTGGATATGCTGTGTTTCCTTAATCAATTAAACTATCTCTGCTCCTATTTATGGCACATGTCACACGATTTGGAGCGGATCTTCGAAATTTGGTACGGTCAAGATTTCGACCATCACAGTTACGTCTTGATTCTGGGACCGTATCTGATTCTCGCAATGTGTGTTACAAATTTAAAGGTGTACGCCATATTTGCGGTATTTTCAAACGTTTTTACGCTAGTATCTCTAAGCATGATGATCTTCTATTTAACTCAGGACCTGCCGAATTTTACGTTGATACCAGCGTTTTCTGCGCCGTCGGACCACATTTTGTTTTTCGTACCGGCTCTGTATGCACTACAATCGGTACCATTGGTAAGTGTCATAGACAATTTTGACAATTGTAGTACCTTTTAGTATACATTAATGTTACTAGTTTTCTTTTTAGTAAAATTACCTTAATAACAAAGTAATTAGGCTTGCGCCTATTAGGCGACCTGTCAAAATGCTGTCAGTGGGAATTACAGTTTAATGTTGAAATTCTGTGGGACAGGATCAATGATACATATATAGTTATATAAATTGGCTCAAAGCGAGTCGTCTGCTCAAAGCGAGTCGTTTGCGAGCGGCCATATTGCCTGGCAAGTGTTGATTAATTTGAATTAATCTGACAAAAATGTATTTTAAAACCAATTTCCAGCCTTAGAAGATATTAAAAAAATTATTACCTACATTTTTACTTCAAGACATAAACTTGTTTTTGTATAAAACCCTGGATGATCAATCTATGTAACTATCTATATCATTGACCCTGTCAAATTACCAGGCCCACAGTGTTGCCATATTATAACATATCATTGGCCTGTCATTACCTACGGGCAACCATTTTGTTTGGAATGCCTAATATTAAACAGATTTTCATTAGTGGTTATTAAAGTTCTGCTAATACAAATTTCTTTCAGTACAGATACATATTGGTTTTAGGTTAGTACTGTCGAACTCAATATGCTAAAAGGTAAAGATTTCCTGAGAATACCGGGTATTCTGTGCCAATCGTATGCCACATTGTCCATAATATATTTCGTTATTGGAGTGCTGGGCTATTGGCGATATGAAGAAAAAACTGTTCTGTTAACACATAACATGGACGTATCCTCTTGGTGAGTCCGTAATTTAGTTAAAAATGATTTGTTTTGCATTTTTTATGTCACTTGTGAAAATAATACTTATTACGATGACGTCCAACAAACCTGAGTAGAATATGGGTCACTCTGAGACACTTTTGAAACTGAGCATGAGCGACACTAGCTATGAAGCTAACTAACTTGTTGACAGATGTCGTCAAAAAATATCTAAGCTCACATATGTCAACTTTCAATCAAAAAATGGTCTCTAACTCTAACCTATCTTCTTGGGTTAACCAACGGCACATAGGCATCACAAGGCTCATTGTGCATTTTCCTAGTTAGGTGGCCAGCCCACAGATTCTATATAGTTGACAACGTCACCAAGAGGTGCTTCTCTTATATCGGCCGGTGTTAGCCAATTCTCTTCCAATAAATGAGAGCGTCATCTTCTCAGACGCACCCCCTGTAGAGTGATATGGAGATGCTTTTATACTTGCTAATGACCAATCAGAATGCCTTGATTAGACGCAGATTCTGTCTAGTCATGGTCTAGTATTTATTTGCTGTATTGTTGTCAGGATAATTTAAGAAGCTTCCTGGCAAGTCTGCAGTTTCTTGTCTTGAATTTCACACGAATATGTTCTCTAATTAGGTTTGTAACTACCGATGTTGTCAGTCCAATAGAAGCGTCAGGTCCAAGAAGTATTTGGTTGGCTGCCTTCTTGGCTAGTAAATTAGCAAGACTGTTACCTTTCGATGTGGAGTGACCTTTGATCTATCCTAAGTTGACCACTTTGTTGATAGATACTTCGGCCAAAGCTTCGTAACATTCTAGTACCAACCCTGAGTAAATTCGTGGTCTGTCCAGGATGAGTACTGCTTGTCTGCTATCTGTATAGATGAGCATGTTCTTTCCAGTGATATTATTTCTGATGATTTCTTTTGCTGCTATAAGAATTCCCGTTAGCTGTGAAAGCACGGCTATGCCTAATACAAAATAATAAGCACTGTATTTAGCTACCTGGAGTGTTTACAGAATTAATATAAAAGAAATTTACAAGAAGTAGATGATCATAATTTTATTAAAAATATGTGTTTTGCTGCATTTTTATTATATTTAGATACCTGGAATTACCACATTACCTGGATTAATTGGAAAACAGTTTTTAACAAAAATTAATCAAAATGTACAAAAAGTGTTAATTTGCTTCAAATATATTTTTAAATTTGTATAGAACTAATTACTAAAATTAAGAATACATCATCTCTACAATCAAATTCTTCTTCTTCTTCTTTAAGGTTAGTCAAAACGTCGATAATATTATACTTTTTCGGCATTTACATCTCATATGGACTACAAGGTCAAATAGGAATATACGTCATATGGGAGCACTATTTGACGCTTTGGATCAACCTACGATGGGAATTTTTGAAAGCATTAATCGAGTACATCTTTAGATTCTCTCTATTTGTAATTTTGCCAAGTAAGCCGTATACTATACCGGGTGTCCCATTATATTTATCAACATTTAGCTAGCTTATAACTTTTAAACGAAAGCATATATAAATATAATGGGACACCCGGTATTATAAAAATTGTTTCTAAAGTAGGCTATAATCGACAAAAACAGATATACGAGAAATGTCCGTGATATCTACATACGGCTCTGAATTAAATTCAAACTGACATTTAAAAAGAAGAATTGTATGCAACGATATGATTTTTTCAACTATTTAAATTTTGGAATTTCTGGAAAAAATTGTATAAACTCGACTTCAGATGGATATTTTTGGATTGGTTGATTAACTTCCTCAAAGATATGAAAATGATATTAATGATGATGGCTTTGATTCACATGATTTAAAAATAGGTGTTCCCTAACGATGCGAGGATGTTTTTGCTTTTTGTTAATGAGCAACCTATTCATATTAATTCGGATACCGTATCTATATTTGCTAATGACACAGCCTTGATTGTTTTAACAAACACCTTTGAGGAACTAGTGTTGGCAGTCAACTAACGCAGTAGATATATTCCTTCATAAAATGGTGTAATAAACAAACCGAACACATTAATTTATTTGCACCAGAGAAAATTTCGGTGCCCATGTGTGCTTATTGTTAACTTTTTGAATATTATATAAGCTCAAGCAAACGAAAATGCGACACAAAATTGCAAGGATTGGAAGACGAGGAAAAAAACAGTACGTTTACAATATTGGACACCAAAGGCAGAGATGGGCTTGTTTGAGATTTAAAATATAATTTCATCCCTAAAAACTTCAATCAAAACAAAAAAATAGCAGAATGGTTACTTTTTATTTGTATAAATAACGATACATTAATAAGGTGTATTCAATATACTGGGTGAAATATACTGCTCAATAATTGAACTGAATAACTCTGATTGTCTTGAAATTTAAATTTTAAAATGTTAAAATAATCGTACCGTATTTTTTATATTAAACCGATTGCAACCGCATCCTCAAACATTACAAATGGCTTATGAGTTGCAAAAAAATTAGGAAATCCAAATATTAATATTTTGAATTTCTCAAAATATCCACTTCAATTGTTGAGCAGTTTATATTGCGATGCTAAATAAGACTTTTTTAAATTAATATTAGTTTTTTTGATACAATTTTCGTTTTCTAGTGATAGTTGTCATATACTTACCAACCGGAATGTCTTTGTTTTTGTCAATACACGGCATGTGCCAGGCTTTTCTGGCGATAATGTTTCCGGCTCTCTTAGACATTTCTTTGAGGTGGAAGAGAAAAAAATTTGGCAGCTGTTACTGGATGTTTATTAAGGATCTACTTTTGATCTGTCTTAGTTGCTGTCTACTGGTACTCAGTGGATACCATGGGTATAGATTCTGTATGGGGCATCCTGGAAGTAACTGGTGGTAAGATAATTGCACAAAAAAATTATTTTTAAATTTTTAAATGAATTAATAAAATGAATTAATAAAATGAATTAATAAAATGAATTAAAATGAAATGAATTAAAATGAACTGATTTAAAAAATGAATAAAGAATTCACAATGAAAAAAAAATAAATTAAAATTTCAAATAAAAAATTGATTAAAAAATTAACTAAGAAATGAATGAATTAAAAAATTAATTAAACAATTAATTAGAAAATTAATTATTTAAAACATTAATTAAAAAATGAATTAAGAAATGAATTAAAAAATTAATCAAAAACTGAATTAAAATAAATTGAAAAATAAATTGAATTAAAAATTATTTAATAAATAAATTAAAAAAATTAATTTAAATATTGAATTAGAAAATTAATTAAGAATTTCAATAAAAAATAAATTAGAATATGAAGTAATTATGCAATAAATTAAAAAATTACCTAAAAAAAATAATTAAAATGAACAATTAAAAATCAGTGAAAAATTTAATTAGAAAGTAAATTAAAAAATGAAATAAAATACGAATTGTTTTAAAAAATGAATTATGAATTACAAAATGCTTTATGAGTTATAAAAAAATTAAATATAAATTGAAATAAAACTAAATGAAGAAATTATTTAAAGAATTAAATAAAAATTAAAATAAAAAATGAATTAAAAAATAAATTAAAAATTAATTAATAAATTAATAAATAAATTAAAAAATGAATTAAAAAAGAAATAAAAAATGAATTAAAAAAGGAAATAAAAAATAAATTTAAAAATGAATTAAAAAAAGAAATAAAAAATGAATTTAAAAATGAAATAAACAATTAATCAAAAAATTAATTTAAAAGGAATTATAAAAAAAATAAATGAAAAATGAAATAAAAAATTTATTAAAAAATATATTAAAAAAATTATTAAAAAAATTATTAAAAAATTTATAAAAAAAATGAATAAAACATTAAATTAATTATAAATGAATTACAAAATGAATTAAAAAATAATAAAGTTTCTTTTATTTTAGACTTACCTACAATTTTGCAGAAAACGTTAGAACAAGAATAAGATTGTTAGTATTTTTTTTGTAATGTAACAAATAAAAATATATTCTAGAGTATATAATTATTATTATTATTACTCAATGTAAAATTCTTGAAGGTAAATATATCATCCTGCCCTTAAAACAACAATTATTATTTTTATACAGTAAATATTCTATTCTAATGCCCTTTTTATCAACAAACTTATCATACGCGTATTTAAAAAAATATATGTTCGTCTATTCAATTATAAACTACATCCATGTCTTTCATGTACAATTGAAACGCGCTGGCGAATTAACACCAATTAACAATCAAAAATGCTGCTCAAACACAACATGTTTTGGCGTTACTTTTAGGCAGCCGCGAGGAGATGAGACGATGAGCGTAGGCCCATGCGGTGTACAGACCGTCCCGAAGCGACCCAAAAGAGGAATATGACCTGGCGAGTTTTTGTTAAGCCTTCCACTGGTCCGCTGTGGACTTATTCTTAGGTATGAAATGAGAGTAGGATACGTTTACGCGCTATGGATACTATTTAATAATTAAAAATTAATGATAATACATAAAATTTGTTTTAGGTATATTTTAGAATGTCTATAATTTTTGTGAAATGAGATGAGAAATAATGTTTTTTTTTTGATAAAATATAAAATCCAAATGATTATATGTTGATATCGGGTCGGTAGCGTAACTATCTCAAGTGCTTATATTTATTTATTTATTGACAAGATTCTGGTTGAGAGACAAAGCGGCTTTGAATCCTACCAGTGGAGGCTTGTGGTAATTTAAAATAGGTGTTCAATTTTTTCCAATAATTTTATTATTTGCAAGTTCGTTTGTTTTGTTTTAAAACTGTTAATGCAAAAGTGCGGACACTTTTAGTATCATCATAGCATCTCCACTTTATTCTGCATCAATGATTAGAAAGATTCGTATACCCCGCCCTACTTTGTGACGTCATGCCTTGAATATATGCGATGCACAAAATAACGTGATTTAAGAGGGCACATTGTTTCATGTTTCACGTGTTGACCTCTCTTTTTAGCTGCAAGCTTTCGCGAAAACCTCTCGCTCCCTCGTGATCACTTAGAATAGTAAACCACAGAGACGTGTATGAAAACAATAAAATAATTAAAATTGAATTATTTATATTTTTATGTCATTTATTTTAATATAATATGTTTTTATGAAATGTAACTGGGTGTTTACTGCATAAATGAACCAATAAATGGCACCATCTTTAAATCGTCCTGCGGAGCGCCACAGCAAAAAATCTGATGTGTCCAACACATGACTTTCCTATCTAGTTATTATAGGCATTTTCCGGTTATTTTGTACAACCTATTGCAGCATCTCTATAAATGTTTAGAGGATAAACTAAATATATACATTTTCCACATACATCTACCTCGAAACATTTTTCTATAGATATTCATTGAAAACGAAAATACAGAAAAATTTAAATTTAGCACTTTTCCATTACGGTCCATTTTAGAAAAATCATATATAAACAAAAATTATAGAAATCGATATCGCAAACAACTTTTAGAATTTTGCAAATTTTGTCAAATTTCTCGAATACGGACCATTTCAGGAAATTTTGACATGGAACAAAAATTATAGATAATAATATTAGAAGTAACTTTTATTTGAACAATTTTCTTCTCCAAACATAAATAACAGATATATTCCATAAAATATAAAAACGGCCTCCCATAAAGTACCCCCCCAGATGTTCCGACTTTGTCCAAAATCTAATCATTTCACGTCAGGCCGAAATAAACCTTAAGTTTAAAATTTAATGTTTTTTCCTTTATCCGTTTTTGAGTTTTCTTCAAATTTCTAAATTTACACATTTTCTCAAATATCTCGAATACGGTCCATTTTAGAGAAATTATGTATAGGACAAAAATTATAGAAAATTATATTACAAACAACTTTTATTTGAACAATTTTTATAAAAAATTTTTTTTTACATTTTCTCAAATTTCTCGAATACGGACCATTTTAGGAAAATTTTGCATAAAACAAAAATTATAGATAATTATATTAGAAGTAACTTTTATTTGAAGAATTTTCTTCTCCAAACGTAAATAACAGATATATTCCATAAAATATAAAAATGACCACCTATAAAGTACCCCCCCAGATGTTCCGACTCTGCCCAAAATCTAATCAGCTCATTGGACGCTGAAACAAAGCTTAAGTTTAAAATTTGGTGTTTTTTTGTGTATCGGTTCATGAGTTATGCGTTATACAGACACACATACACACACACACACACACACACACACACACACACACACACACACACACACACACACACACACACACACACACACACACACACAGACACACACACAGACAGACAGACATCATCGCGAAAATAGTCAAAACGGATTCAGGGGACCTCAAAACGTAAAAATCCGTCGAAAACTCGAGGTCGAAAAAAATCATGATTCCTATACTTTCCTTATATCTGTATACAGATAGGAAAGTAAAAAGAATAATAGCCGTTCTTACCAATACAAGCTCAGTCAGCTTCAGGTGAATGAGAGAGAGTATTATTATTATAAACAACTCAATTTCTTGCAAACCTAGTATTTTTATTAACAACATTCCAATCAAAAAAAATTTAATTATGACATAACGTTATCTATCAAATTTCCCACATTCCTGAGCCACCGATACAATAACAAAACCTCCTAGAGTATAATAATAAGGCAATTTTCAGTATGTTCGAGATTCGCATCGTGTGCTCCCATCCCAGAGCACTTGCATCTCCGAACTCCCAAGGTTGCATCGAAGGAGTCGCAAAAATAGTATCGCAACAACTGACCGCAAGATAAGTCGGCGGATGCTCTCCTAATCTAGCGTCGATATCCCCAAAAACGAAACAAAAGAACGTCCTAAAAAAAACGTCCGCGAAACGTAAAGAAGATTCACTTGAGAGCTTCCAGTTCCACTGCATCGCGGAATGACGTAATATCATATTGAAATAGTTGCTTTCCCCACGCAAACTGAAAACACGCAGAAATTCAATTCAAATCTAGCCGATCTAAGTAACCTCAGATCGGCGGTATATAGTCATCGAGTTGACTTTGTAAGGTAACAACAAGTGAGCGCGCGAGTGACTTTGATACCCACACGGAATACCTTGCGCCTACTTCGATTTGGGCAAATTGTATTTTAAAAGTGAGAGTGCTCGTAAACATGAGTGGACGCAGGTAGTGCACAAGGATTTTTGCTTGGATCTATTCAAGATTTGTTTGTTTTTGTTATAGGGTAAGTCAGTGTTCATTTTATTTACTAATTTCTTCTTTATTTAAAATTGTAATTTGTATAATATTCAAAGAAGGAAAATTCATACTCCAAAACAACTTCCCCACAGTGGGGAGGTACCCTAGATAAGTGAAAATAACACTCACGCTGAAATTACCTCAAAACAATATATAATTTTCTGCGAAAGTTTATAGATATTAATTAATAATAAAAAAAAGTTTAATATTATTTTCCTGTAAAAGTCTAAGTGTCCATTTTACGGGGTGATACAGTCAATTTAATAAATAACTGATGGTGTTTCGCATAACAACTGACACAGAAAAGTGCATGGGACACCCCAAAATATAAAAAATCGTAAAAACCCGTCCATTTTATTTTCAAAGGAGACACCTATAATTAATACTTTTAACATTCGTGGCCCAACCTACCTAGGAGCAGTAAATGTTACCCTTAAGATCTTAAATGCAAAGGGGGTCAAGTGGCACATCATTTTAAAGCGCGTTTAATTCTCTTTGCGTTTTAAAGTTACAGAAGTTGGAACGTGCCTGCACTGAGAAGCTTGGTTTCAGTTTAGTATTTAAATAAAAATTATTCTACCGAATTGATTAATAGGAGGAATATCAAGTTTACACGTTCAATTTTTATTTATTGGTTACGTGACTTTTACAG